AGCAGTGTATGAGAGTTCCCTTCTCTCCACATCCTCTCCAACACATGTTGTTTCCTGTCTTGTTAATTATAGCCATTCTGACGGGCGTGAGGTGATAACAGGCATGACTATGGGAGTTATTTCTGAAACACAGCCAGGATTCTGGGCTTGATCTCAGAAGCCTAATTTATTAAAGAGATTACTGTGTGTGTGTATGTGTGAGAAATAATAGAAAAACATATATTGGTCTCTGCCCCCTGTTCCTGACACAGGACCCTTGAAACCCTTCTAATTTCCTAGTGATAAGAGCACTAGCACTTTTGTTCTAACATTTGGTCTTTGACCTCACTTCCTGACACAAGACTTCTAAAAACCTTGTAATTTCCTGGGTGATAACAGAGTGTCTTGTTCTAATGAGGCAACTCTAGGTGGGCTCCTGAGTGGCTCCTGGATGAGAGCTGGTCACTGGAAAGACCAAGCCATGATTCGAAGCCTAGAATTTTCAGCCCTGCCTCCCACTCTCTTGAGAAGAGAGAAGGGCTGAAAATGGATCAATCATGCCTACATAATGAAGCATCCATAAAATTCCCAATAGTAGGGGGTTGGGGGAGCTTCCAGGTTAATGAACACATCCACATCAAGAGGGTGACGCACCCCAACTCCAGGGAGACAGAAGCTCCTTCACTCGGGACCCTCTCAGACCTCACCCTATGTATCTCTTCATCTGGCTGTTTATCTGTATCCTTTATTATATCCTGTAATAAACTGGTAAACATAAGTTAGTGTTTCCCTGAGTTCTGTGAACTGCTCTAGCAAATCAATTGAAACTGAAGATGAGTCAACGGAACCTCTGATTTGACGCCAAATCAGACAGATGCTGTGGTTTAACCTGGGGACCCACTACTTGTGATTGGCATCTAAAGTGCGGTGGTAGCAGTCTTGTGGGACTGAACCCTTTGCCTTTGGGATCTGACACTATCTCCAGGTAGTGTCACAATTGAGTTAAATTGTAGGACACCCAGTTGGTGTCATGGAGAATTGCTTGGTGTAAGGAAAAACCTCCACACATTTGGTGACCAGAAGTGTAGTGTTTTGTGTAAGTAATAAAAAGAGACTCAGGCGCTGGTCCGGTGGCGCAAGCGGTTAAGTGGGCGCGCTCCGCTGTGGCGGCCCAGGGTTCACCGGTTTGGATCCCAGGCGCACACCGACACACCGCTTGACAAGCCATGCTGTGGCGGCGTCCCATATAAAGTGGAGGAAGATGGGCACGGATGTCAGCCCAGGGCCAGTCTTCCTCAGCAAAAAGAGGAGGATTGGCAGATGTTAGCTCAGGGCCGATCTTCCTCACAAAAAAAAAAAAGAGAGAGAGAGTCAGGAAATAAACACACAGTAGGGAAGAACTGGGTTTTTCCCTACACAGAAGGAGGAAAACCGACTTTTTGCATTTCACCGTGTGTGTGTGTGTGTGTGTGTGTGTGTGTTCTTACTTTGTAGAGCAGGAGAAACTGGCTAATTATCTTTAGACCCCGTGAATATTGGGAAACCCTAAGCTCAGGGTATGGCAGAAGGCTCTCAAGGTGTTTTGGGTTTTGCTCCTGGGGCCGTAGGAGGCTGGGCAATTCTCTCTCTCCTTCTCTGAGAAGGCAGCCTTGGTCTCCTTGTGTGAGTTTAGGTGAGCCATGTCATGCCTGCTTCTTTATCCATTAAAGTGCATTACCCCTAGTGAGCACTCAATAAATGTCTTAAAAAGATAAAATGTAAGACTATAAATCGAAAGACCTTGTAAAGTAAAAAAAATACACATATAAAAGATAACTGAGATAAGTCAGACAGAGAAACAAATACTGTATGATACCACTTATATGTGGAATCTAAAAAAGCCAAACTCATAAAAACAGAGTACAGTGGTGGTTACCAGGAGCTGAGGGATGGGGGAATTGGGGAGATGTTGTCTAAGGGTACCAATTTGCAACTAGTAGTTAAATAAATCCTAGAGAGCTAATGCACAGCATAGTGATTATAGTGATTATAGCCAACAATACTGTATTATAAACTTCAAAGTTGCTAAGAGACTAGATCTTAATTGTTCTGATCACACAAAAAATTAATAATTATTATGTGACTTGATAGAGGTATTAGCTAACACTACAGTTGTAATCATATTGCACTATAGTCACACACCACATAACAACATTTCAGTCAACGATGGACCGCATACACGATGGCGGTCCCATAACATCAGTACCATGGAGCCTAAGTGTGTACAGGCTGTACCCTCTAGGTTTGAGTAAGTGCACTCTATGATGCTCATACGACAGCAAAACCATCCAGCACATTTCTCATATCGTATCCCCGTTAAGTGGTGCATGACTGCATATAAATGTATCAAATCAATACTTTGTACACCTCAAACTTACACGATGATATATGTCAACTATATCTCCAGAAAGAAAGATAACTGTATACACATCACATTACCTAGCCTTCTAAGGTAATGTCCAAATTCCTTGGCAGAGAAGCAGCAGATATTGCGCCCCACTCCCTGTCCAGCTGTATCTCCCCTGTTCCCTCCTCACCCTCCCACTCAAGCCACAGGGAGCTCCCACAGTGTCACCACGAGGACGGTGCTCTCTCTTGGCTCACTGCAGCTGCCAGACCCAAGCTGAGCAATCCTACTACTTCTGTAGGATTTGGGACTGGCATTTAGAAGCAGCCTCCAGGAGGCTGAAAACTAAGGAGTGGCGGAAGCAAATTTTGCCACGTAGACTGGGGGGTAGAATCCCTGGTTGGCTGTGGGAGAGGGGTTTGTTGGAGGGGGTGACACACAGAACTTGCTTTCCACTGCACTTCACTCACCCCACCACCCCTTACATACCCTCCATTATTTCTCATTATTTGGACCGTAGAATGATGTCTTTCCTCATTCGAAGCTTTCAAACACTCCACGGAACACACATTGGAAAATGCTGATGTGGTGCCAAGAACACATTATTGGGTGAAACAAACCTGGTTTGGGTTGCAGCTCTTCATGGCCTGGCTGGGGGTGTTTAGGGAAAGTGACTTAGCTGAGCCTTGTCCCCTCATCTCTACAGCAAGGATAGTAATAGTATCTACCTACGCTAAGACAATTCATTAATAAGTTTAGCAAACATTCACCGAGAAGTCTTTCCCTATAGTATCACATTCGACCTTTAAGGCATTTATTCATCCAACCAAAAGGTACTGAACACTTACTATGTGGCCAAACAATGCTCCCGGCACTGGCCTGCAACAACAATCAAGACCAATGAGATCCTGCCCTTGTTAAGCCAACTTTCTAGTGAAAATGCACAAAATCAACTATTTTTAATGAAAAAGAAAATATCAAGTAATGATAAATGCTTTGAGGAAAAGAGAACAGAGTCACTGGGATGGAGAGATTTTTAAGGCCAGAGAAGACTCTTCTAATAATGTTACATAATATACATGAGAGCTGAATGGTAAGAGGGAGCCAGCCATGCAGACACCGGGGTAAGAACGTCTCAGGCAGAGGGAACAGCTCGCACAAGGTCCAGAGGAAGGAACAAGCTTGCTGCTCTGAACAGAAAGAAGGCCTCTTAGCTGGAACATAGCAAGAGAGGGAAAGTCTGGCAGGAGATGATGTTGGAAAGATGATCTTCACCTTGGAGAATATCTACGGAGCAGCTACTATGAGCTAGGCCCTGTGCTTTGCATTGTTATTTCATTTTACCCTCAGAGCAACCTGAAGGGTAGATAACATGAATGTCAACATCTCCGCTATGAGGAAACAGAGGCCCAGAGAAGCTTGTCACACAGCCCATGGATGCAGGAGCCAGGTTTCACATCAAGGCAGCCTGAGCCTAGAGCCTCCATTCAACAGTTGCACCACGGCAGCCAGTTCTTATAGGAAGACCAGACTAAGGAAATCAGATTTGATTCTGTAAGTCATGTTATAAAGGGCTCAGCACGGTACCTTTTACATAATAAGAACTCAATCAGCCATATCTGTTATTTTTATTATTATTAATTTGACGGCCTTAGGTACTTAATCTTTGGACTTCAGTTTCTTCCACTTTACATTAAGAAGACTATCTAAGAATTGTTGTAAAGATCAAAATCAAAGGAGATAATGGCTGTAACATGCTTAGAACAGCACCTGGTGTATACTAAGCTCTCCAAAGACAAGAAGAAATTAGTGCAATAAAGGAGAGACAATGGTTCTCATGATGTGGGGGCCACAGAACCTGTTGCATCCCATAAGACGTGGGGCTTAAGAAACTCTACAAACAACTGAATATTCCCCTCCCCAGTCCTGCTCAACTTCTCAGAAATTGAACCATTCCTTGGGAAAATAAGGTAAGGCAGAAAGATGTGGCCTTTTTCTGTGCAGTAACAATGTCCTCTACCCATAGCAGTGGAGACCCTGGCTCCAGCAATGGCATGCCCACGAGGAGCATTCTGAGGATGTGGACAGGTCTGCGTCAAGATATCCACAGTCTTGGGCCGGCCCGGTGGCGCAAGCGGTTGAGTGCGCGTGCTCTGCTGCAGTGGCCAGGGGTTAGCCGGTTCGGATCCCGGGTGCACACCAACACACAGCTTGGCAAGCCATGCTGTGGCGGCGTCCCATATAGAATGGAGGAGGATAGGCACAGATATTAGCCCAGGGCCAGTCTTCCTCAGCAAAAAAAAAAAAAAAAAAAGAGGATTGGCAGATGTTAGCGCAGGGCTGATCTTCCTCACAAAAAAACAAAAAAGATACCCACAGTCTTGTCTACCTCCTTGCCATGGGAGCTGAAGCCTGTGTGTCCTGGGTGGCCTCTCAGGACCAGGGTCACTGACCAGAGGCTCCTGTCGGGACCCTGTGGCCACGACCCCAGGAATCTGGTGCTTTGACCTCCCAGCTCAGGTAACATGTTGTGTGTGGGCCTGACCTGGAGGTCTGGTGAACAAAACATTGCATCACTTGGCCATTCCCTTCACAGCCTGGGCCATTCTTGCTTCTCCAGATGTGAAGAGCAAGTGCTGTCACTTAAACTTGCATTGTTTCCATTTCACCCCCTCCTTTGGGCCCATGACTTGGGTGGAAAGACTCAGATGCTGGGGTCCTGGTAAGAACTGCGAGGTGTGCATCGACCCAATATTCCAGAAACAGACAGACCTGACCTTGTGAAAAATGAAAACAACAACAAAATCAAAAACATTTTGTGTAGCAAAGGGCTCTCTAAGTGATACCAAATCTATGTTTAGGGGGACAAAATCTGCAACACAGATGACAGAAACAGGATTAATATCTACATATAGAAGAGTGGCTCAAAGTTAACTTTAGGAAAAAAAATCCAAGAGGAAAGTGGGCCAAGGGTAAGAATAGGCAATACAGAAGAACAAGTTCAAATGCTGACAGACAGATGAAAAGATGCTTTAACTCACCAGAAGGCAGGAGGATGCCAAATAAAATAATTATGGGATACCACTTGCAGCTAGGCTGGCAAAAATTAAAACAACTTATTGTTGGTAGAAATGTGGGGGAAAAGTATTCTAATATGATAGAAATGTACTTTTTGGAAAGTAATTTGAAAATACCCTTTAAAATTAAAAACACACATCTAACCCGAAACCCAGCAATAAACTCTCTCTTAGGGATCCATCCCACAGAAATAAGACCCCCAGGATAAAAGAATAGACTTACAAGGATGTTTATTGCAGCATCTAGCACAGTGCAGAAAATCAGAAACCAGGTGAGTGCTCCCCAAGAAGAGGCTAAAGTTGAATAGATTACGGCATATCCTCACCATCTCTCTGGAAAGGAGGACCTGAGAACTGTGTCAGGGCCATCCAGAAATTTCCCTGAGGTGTTTCTGAGAGATTCATAAAAGCTAGCATCACATGATTCCACTTCTGCCAGACAGTGAGATGTGCATACACATGCGTGTGCATGCACGCAAATATACGCAGACATTTTTATACTTACGTAACTTTTATTGAGTAGACTCGACTCTATGGGATATAACTATGAAGTACTGTCCTAGGTTTTTAAATTTTAGTCGCTGTCATCAGTTGTTGTTTCATTTTTCTTTCCCATCCTCTAACTTCTCAAACAGATTCGTATTTTCTGGTCACTTTGCATTTTAATAAGTCTAGAGGAGTCCAGCTGAGCCATGTGATCCTGAGTCTAACTACAATCCCTTCTCCTCCACTTCCCAGCTCAGGCTGTGGTGGTCTGCTCGTCATGCGCCTCCCACCCTCAGCAATGAGCGGGCTGTGGGCCGGAGCGGGGGCACCTCCTCTTGTGCCCTGTCTGGGTCCAGCCCCCTGAGATGAGTGGGAAGGAGGGGACAGGATCATCCCCTGGTAAGCGCAGATGCCCTGGCCTGCCCTGGCTTGGTGTGGTCCATCTGCTGCTGGCAGCTTCGTCAGTGCAGTGATTCTCCACAAGTGGTGTGTGTGACCCAGCAGCCACACAGGACCCTGCACTCAGAGGGTTAATGCTCTGCTACAATAGTCTTCAATTTCTTCATAATATTTACCAAAGGGCCTCATATTTTCGTGTGGCACTGGGGCTGTCCCGAGACTGCTGGGGGTGGTGCTCTGCCCTCTCCAGGCTATGCTCCCTTGCGCTGTGCCTGGGTATACAGCCCACAATTCCTGCCAGCCCCTCACCTCAGCCTCCACACACCCCCTCTCAGCCTTCCCTAGGACGCCGGGGACCCAGAGTGACATTACCCCATTCTTTTCTTTTCAGACTCTCACCACAGGCCTTTCCTTCCCTACGCAACATGGGCATAACCCCCAATCTCAGTGCTCCTGTGGGTTCCAAGAGTCCAGGGGACGCATGCCAAGCCCCATTTCCCCAGCTCCTTTGCCAATGGCAGCCCCTCCTCAGAGGACAGCCCCTGGGGAAGGAGGTTCTGGCCTTCTGCTTGCAGCCACCTCAATTTCTGAGACTGATTCCCCCAGCCCCTTTCATCTCCTGTTCAGAGAGTGAGAGGACGCTCCCTCCCTCCCAGGGAGGAAAATAGAAAACAGAAAAAAAAGCCTGTGTTTAAAAACATAGCAAATATGATGTGATATCATATAATAGCAATGTGTGTGTATGTAAGAGCATATGTAAAAATAATTTTAAAAGAAACCATAAATCCATACAGAAGTTCATCTTTTTTTAATGAGCTTTTTATTTTAGAATAGCCTTAAATTTACCTAGTACAGAGTTCCCACACCCAGTTTCCCCTGTAGTTAATATCTTACATCAGTATGGTACCTTGGCCACAAGTAATGAACCAGTGTTACTATGTTAGTATTAACTAAAGCCCATACTTATTCAGATTTCCTTAGTTTGCACCTAATGTCCTTTTTCCGTCCCAGGATCCTATCCAGGACACCAGTCATCATGTCTCCTTAGGCTCCTGTGGGAAACAGCTTTTTCTACTAAAGTATAGGTCACCTATCTTTTTTATTATATATCTATACCATGTATATATACGTACACAGTTATATATAAATAAAAGTGGACCTCAGCAATGGTGATTTTTGTGCATCTGTAGGAATATAAGTATGTAAATCGGTACAACCTCTATGGAAGTCAGTTTAGCAATATATATGAAAATAAATACAAACATACAGCTTTTGGTCCAGAAATTATAATCCCAGAAGTTTATTCTACAGATATCTTGTACATATATAGGAAGATATATGTACAGCTTAATAATTACAACTTAGTTTGTGATAACAAAATAATACAGCAATCTAAAATACACCCATCTGAAATTGGTTAGATAAATTACCGGACATCCAAACAGGTAGTTCTACACAAAAGCTAAAAGGAATGAGGCAGTTCTGTGTGTACCAATATGTAACAATTTCCAAGATACATTTTAGACAAGAAAAAGCAAGCATAACGTGTGCGGTACCATTTGTGTAAGGAAAGAGACCTGTGTTTTGAAGGGTAGAGATGCACGTCCTTGTATATACCAAAAACATATGCAAAGCTACCAAGTCACTAATCCCAGCGACGGCGGAGGGGAGAGGAGCCGCGGCTGTGGGCAGCGACGGAGGGAAACCCGTTTCCACCACAGACACTTTCACTGCATTTAAATTTGGTACCATGTTCATATATAACCTATTATAAAATATCTTAAGATTTAAAAACTCGCATGGCAACCTGACTCTGTGTTGCAGTTTCATCATCTCCAAGCTGGGACTCCACCTGCTGCAAAGCACGCCTCCGACCTCGGCGCCCCAGGACTGTGTTCAGATGGGACAGGGCAGTTCTGAGTCCCGGCCTGGCGCATGGATGGGACGCTGCCAGACGAAGCCAAGGACAGACCTCCTGCACTGGCCTCTGGCCAGGACCACAGCACCAGCCCCCGCGACCCTCCCTCCTGTCCGGAGGGTCCTCTCCCGAGATGGCAGCCGCTTCCCCTTTCGCACAGCCTCGGTATTGGAGACCCCTGCGCTTGTATTCCCTGCACCACTTACCCACAGTTGCTGACAACTGTAGACTCAGTTTTTGCAAAACCTCTAGGTCGGGGGCCTTTTCCCTTGCTGCTGCTGTCAGAGCCACTGCAGAGCCTGGCCCTTCCTTCCCAGGCCTGCTCCTGGCCTCCTCCCTCCCCTTCAGCAGGTTGAAGATGGCAAGATTTTCAGCGCTGGGCCAGTCACATTGCTTCCCTGGTCACATACGCTGTCACCTCCAGACTGAGTGGAAACTCTTCATTCTGACACCCAAGGCCTTGACGCCAGGGTCTGTCCCACGTTCTCCAAGCTTGTGTCATGACCCTTCCCTCCAGATGCGCTACCCTGGGTGGGAAATTGTCCGTCCCCAACACAGCCCAGGGATGGCCCACATCTACTTCTTACCACCACGATGTCTCCCCGAGTCTTTCTGTAAGGACCCGTGAAGCTTTTCTGATATTCCTAGCAGTTGTACAGTTGCCCTCTGTTGGAGATTTGCCATGTTTAAGTGGGATTACATCACGAATAATCAGTTCTCCCTAGTCACTCCATACATGCCTCCATAATCCTCCCTACAGCCCTCACATAGGCAGACTCACAGAGGGGATGCAACAGAGACCACCGGGCTCACAGCCTGGTTCCATTATTTGCCAGCTGTGTGACCTCAGCCAAGTTACTTGACCTCTCTGTGCCTCAGTTCCCTCATCTTTTAAATGGGGATATTAAGACTATGTTATTGAGAGTATTACAGGAAATAAAGTATTAACACATATAATGAGGTGTGGCACATGGTTGGAGCTCAAAGAATAGTCTTTAATTATTAGTGGCATTTTATACCTGAGAGGTCAGAAGCAGAGGGGAAAAGTGACTTGCCAAGGGTCACATGGCTAGCAAGTGTAAGGGACAGGATTCAGACACATGAAGCCCACTCAGTCAGCACCGAGAGACGCGAACCCTGCCATGCACAACAGGGTGAGTGGCAGAGCGGGCTCCCAAGCAGGGGCCATTGTAACCTTCCGACAGACTCACGGTGGTCAGGTGAAGAGAGAGGAGGGGGTGATGTGACAGAGTCTAGGAAGTGGTCAGCAATGGCCGCAGCCGAAGGCCCCCACACAGCGTGGTGGGCCTGGGCCAGCACACACTGGCCCTGCAGACCTTCCACAAACAGAACCTCGAATTGAGGAAACGGGAATTTGAGCCTCTGTTGCCATTACTTTGTCCTGTGGTCTTACAGGACTTGAAAGTTCCAGTGGGGTCAGGTTGCAGAAAGCTGTGAATGCCAGAATAAAATTTTGAAATTAATTTCATGAATGGTAAGGAGTCACGTCAAAGGTTTGTGCTGGGATGTGACAGCTGAGGGTGATGCCGTAGAAGGCAGTTTGGAAGGTCTGCCCAAGCTCCTCTGCTCAGGAGCTGAATCATCCATGGGTTGCTGTGTTGTGGGCTGCTTGCTGCTTGGCAAGAAGGCAGTGGCTCTTGCTTCCACAGTGCACACCTCCCAAGTGTTCTCACATTTACAAATCCTGAGCCAACTGGCAAAGCACAGAATTGGTCAGAGAATAGGTGTGAGTTATCAGAATCCAAGAGGTTCTTACCAACAGTGGGAAAAAGAAAAGAAACTTCTTGCAGTAATAATCTCTTGACATTTTACAAAAATGACTTTAGAATTATAACAAATTAACTAAAGGAACTAAAAAAAAGACTACCATAATTAACCCCATAGTGATATGTGTTTCACGGGGAAAGAATAGTATTTAATCTATTTGATCATTGTTAATATTGCAACATAATGAAATTAAAAATGCAGACTGTAGTGCTATGAATTTACCCCATGGATGTAGTCACAATAGTACTTAAAGAAAACTTATTGCAATATTTACCGAGTGTAAAAGAAAAAGAAGGAACAAGGTAAAAGTCCGTAAGTCCATCATGGATACCATGCAGCTGTAAGATTGAAAATGATCTAAAAGAAAATAACAATTTGAGTATGCAAAAATTTGCGCACACACATTTATTTATACATATATTTGCATATACATACAGAAATTCCAGAAGGCTGCACAAAGAACCATAGGGAGTGGAAGTTTTGCAAGGGTGACTGAGTTTTTTATTTTCCACTAGATACCCTTTAATCCCAATGAACTCATTCTAGGTATGCATAGATGTTATTCTAAAAGTGAAAACTAGTTCATAAGTGAAGTGGCAAGTCTGCAGAAATTGCCGGCTGATCACCCAACCTCCTTTTTGTTTCCCTGAGCACACAGCCAGGATCTATTCCCTACCTTCCCGCAGTCAGATGTGGAGGTGTGGTGTGCCACGGTCCCTCCCCACCATGCATGACTTCCCGTGCTGCTCCCACCACACGCATAAAGCATGCCTGACCAAGGTGACTTGGAAGACATGAATGGAGGGAAAGGACCGAGATCAACACATGGTGCAGAAGCACCTGCCAAGCACAAACACTCCTTCTGGATGTTACGTGAGGAAGAAACAAATGTCTACTGGGGATTTTTTGAGACTTTTGAGAATGATCTGTTACAGCAATAGAATTAGCTTAACTAAAACTAAATTTTTTACCTTTAAGTGGGGTACTTAAGAATCCCACACAAACTTAAAATATATGGCATTGGTTTGGTGGCAGAGAGTGGAAAGAGGAGGCCCATACATTGCAGTGGCAAAACGTTTGGTGAAACCGCTTGCTGTGACAACACGGAAGTGGGCCACATGGCTGGCAAGCCCATGGTGCTAGGTGGAGATGTAGGAAATACAGTGTGTTGCCTTTACTTTCTGCTTTTAGCAAAATATTACAAGGAAGACATGAGCTCTGGAAAGAACTGGTACATTTGCAAGCAGAAATGAAAGAGAATAAAGAAGATTTGGAAATTTGGGGACTCAAACATTTTAGAAAATCCAACAAGTTCTACACCACCAAAAATAAGAGAAAATGATTGGGAGAGGTTTGCAAAGAAATGTCCTCCTTCAGCGCAACTCTAAGGCAGATATAAGCTCTGTGCAGCTCACATCTACTCCCTTCATTTCTGATAGACTCAAGGTTGAGAGAGCAGGACCAGGGATGAGGGAATAAAACAAGAAGTAATATAGCTTGAGACTATGTCTAGAAAAGAATCTTCAATATGTTTAGAGGCAGACAGAACTGACTAGAGATAAATAGATCAGAGACCTACTAAGTTTTTGTAAGATTTACAATACCAAAGAGATCATGAATCTAGCCTGAAAGCAGTTTTTGAATGTTGGAGCATTAAAACAACTCTTATTACATCCATTTATGATAAAAACTCACAGCAAAATTGGTAGAGAAGGAAAGTACCTCAACATAATAAAGGCTATTTATGACAAACCCACAGCCAACATCATACTCAACAGGGAAAGTCTGAAAGCCATTCCTCTGAGAACAGGAATGAGACAAGCTGCCCACTCTCACCACTCTTATTCAACATAATACTGGAGGTTTTGGCCAGAGCAATGAGGCAAGAACAAGGAATAAAAGGAATCCAAATAGGCAAAGAAGAAGTGAAACTCTCACTATTTGCAGACAACATGATTTTATATATAGAAAACTCTAAAGAATCCATTGGAAAACTATTGGATACAATCAACAACTACAGCAAAGTCGCAGGGTACAAAATGAACCTACAAAAATCAGTTGCAGGGCATTACATAATGATCAAGGGAACCATCCAACAAGAGGCTATAATACTTGTAAATAGCTACGCACCCAATGTAGGTGCACCTAAATATATAAAGCAATTATTAACAGACATAAAAACAGAAATAGACAGTAACACAATAATAGTAGGGGACTT